CCCAAATTCTGCGAAATTTGCCGTTGACTTATTCCACAGTCTGCTTGACCAACTATCCTTCCTGTAACAATATCTGACAATTCGACAGAACCTTGAGTTATAGGCATGTTGTAGCACAAGATAATTAGTGTGCGGACCATTTTCTTTTATATAGTGCTCTGTGAACATAAATTAGTTAGCATAAATCAATTAAATGACGAAAAATTAGGTGTCTATTTACTTGTAACCACTCAGTGTACTCTTAAATACAATAGCGCCCTCTCTTTGACAACATATCAACATTTTGCTGTATTGTTTATTTTACTAGTTTATAAAATCTGTTAGAAGTCAAAGTTAATAAGAAATTTGTTTTTGCTTTATTAACCGGTATTTTATGAGTTATTTAGTTTATACCTTTTGTAATATAAAATTTTCTACTGATTCTTGAATTCCAGATAAAATCTTGCTATTTATGACACTTTTTTGTCACATAACTTTTTTGTTTGGTCCTCTGGCAAATCAACAGTAAGTTTATAGATATATTATGCTAAAATACCTAGGGATTAATTGTTGTTTGTTGTTTTATTAGTGCAAAGCTACGCTATGGACTATATGCTCTTTGTCCACCGCGAAGAATCGAACCTCATATTTTAGCGTTGTAAGTTTGTAAACTGACCACTGCCCCACTATAGAAATTGTCGTTTTTAGTATCTTTACTGAAAAATGCGGTTTGGTAGCTGATTTTGTAAGTAGCATTCTAGTTTTTAAAAACTACATACTTTTGGATTACATATGCTGTTTTTCTAAGTTCCTTTCACAAAGAATTTATTTGTGAGGTCGAAATTCAATAAAATAATCGAAATATAAATACGGAAGAAAACAAAAGGGGAAAAAAAGACGAGAAAAATAACTTCTTTTTTACGCTGCGAAAAGGCTTATGAGCTTAAGTTATTTGTCATTCTTTCAAAGTGATTATTATTGACGAGGTTAAAATAATTATATATAAACATTGTACATAAATAAAATCTTCTTTAATATGCAGAAAAATAAATTATGTAAAGAAACGTACGCGTTACAAATGAACGAGCAACTTGTCTTGAAACAGGTAAAAATAAAACATGCAGAAAAACCAACAAGCTTAATGGAGTTGAGACGTAATTTCTCAAGTTATAATATTTTGTGTATTGTATTTTATTTAATTATGACGTGGGGTGAAGTTGTTTTTTCTCAGCATTAAGAAAAAAAAAGTATTGTGTTTATTACTTATGAATTAATGAAAGAACTGATATACTTTGAGAAACTATTTAAGTAGGTATGCAATCACTTCGCGTGAATACTTTACAAAATATCACGTTTAAGACTTCTTCCAATTGTATTTAATTATAATTTATATTATTATACAGCCTGGTGGCTCAGCAGATAGTCTGTGAGCTAATAATCGGTCGGGTTTTGATATCCGTGATTGGCATAGCACAGATAATTCATTGTATATCTTTGCCCTTAACAACAAACAAAAATCTAGTTACTATATATAATAACACTTATCTAATCAACGTTTCATAATGCTTTTATTTTTTCATATCTATTTGAAATGCGCATGTTTTCTTTGTTTTATCATTATTACCTTTATGCTTATAACCGCTAGACCCCAAATTACCTGAACTCAGTATTGCGACCCCATAAAACTGTAAAGTCCTAAAGCAAAGTAAAGCGTATTAGTTTACAATTGTATGCCATCTACTGATAATATATTGAACTGATATATTTATAATAATTATAGTTCAATGAATTGTTCTATTTTATCATTTTTTATTGAAATACCTTTTCCTAGAAATTTAAAACATATCATACTATTTTTAAATCATAAAGCTGTAAAGATACGTTTGCCATCTAGTGGTGGCAATCTTGTAACTAGCTTTTTACATTATCAAGAATGGCTGCTGAAGAGAGTAGTAACGTTAATTTAACTTCAAATGATAATAATTCTGGCAGTAATGGACCATTAGAATTGTATTATTGGTATACATCATTTTACAGCCGAAAGGTATTATTTATAACATGGCAGAGTTATCTTAAATATTGGTTTTTATTGTTCTTTTGTCACAATGTACCATGACTATGATTTGGTTACAATATGATGAATAAATTACTTGGTTACAGCTTACGCTAACTTTAAGATCCAACTATAAATAATAAACGCCAAGTAACAATATCTAATGAATAAAACCAAATGTAGTGCACTTAATTTTATATCAAATCTTTGTGATTGGTGTGCCTATTGTAATAAGTTTATATTATTATTATCGTCCCTTCTCCATTTTTTGAAGTTCAAAAAGTAAAATACAATTTATTATTTGTGTGATACAATTTTATTGTATAAATTTTATATGACTATGAGAGTTATATTTTAAACCTATCATTTCTTTAAAATATGTTAAAACTTAAAGGTATGCTGTTAATTATAGTAAGGCAAATAGGAAATATAACTTATAAGTCTGAAAGGGTTATTTCATTGTATATAAGTCACTGTTTGGTCTTACTTGGAGTATTGTACTCAGTCTTGGACTCTTTTACCTAAAGATAGACATTGAATTCTTGGATAGGGTTTAAAGGATGGCTATTAGCACATTATCTGGGTTGGATAGGTTGTCAGATGACGATAGGTTAACATCAGTGAAATTGTTTTCTCTTGAGTTAGAAGGGACTAGATTAAACCCTGAGATGTTCAAGATTATTATTAAAATATTAAGGGAATTGATAGTGTCAGTGTCTCACTATTTTCATATGTAATGATGACAAGGGGACCCAATTAAAAATTTTGGCAGAGTGGAAGTCATCTTCAGCTAAGATATTTACTTTTCTAACAGGGTAGTTAGCCTCTGGAATGGGTTGCCTTCAAATGAGGTGGAGGAAGTAATTGTAAAGGGGTTTAAGGAAGCTTGATAAATATTTAAATGATCAGGGGTAGAATTTTTGTTATTATATATACTTTTCTACACAAGTGGATGGTACAGCTTCGATGGACCAACAAACGTTTTATGTTCTTGAATGTTATATGCAAACCCCTATCATGAATTTTTTGTGGGTCTTTAGAGAGTAGGCAGACTCCCAAGGAATAGAGAGTTGTGTATGCTACTTCAGTAGTTGAAGAAGGTGATAAGTGATATGGAAAAAAAAAACTAGAGAGTCTCATAATAGAAATGTTACAAAATCATTTAGTGAAATACTACATCATAAATGAAAATCAACATGGATTTAACAAAAGGAAATCTTATGTTGCTAATCTGTATTTATTTATTTTTTCTTTCAAGGATGGTATTTTTTTATCTGGGCAAATTGAAGAGTATGGACTTAGTGTACTTAGAATTTCAAAAATGTGCTGTAAAGATGTTACACCAAAAATCAGCTAAGAAAATCATTTCAATAGGGATTGGGGGAAAGACTAGTTAGTTGGACTGTAGGGTAGTTAGATGGGAGAAAGCTTACAGTTAAACTGGACCCTTGTTACTTGGCCTTTGTATCTAAGAAAGGACATTGACTTATTGGAAAGGATTCAGAGGAAATCATCTTGGATGATTCCAGGGATGGAAGGGACATTGTACAGAGATAAGTTAAGATCTGTTAACTTAGTTTCTCCTGATTAAAGAAGTGTAAGAGGTGATTTTTTTTAAGTTTACAAGATTATCTAGTGGATTGATAGGATAATGTCTCTGATTTTTTTGTGTTGCATTCTGAAAACAATAGAATCAAAGAACAAATGCTTAAGATTTGGTAAAGACGGGCTAGGCTCCAGTTAAGACTGTCTTATTTTTCTAAGAGGATTATTATGTTATGGAATAAGTTGCCATCTGAATTTGTGTTGTGTTCCAGAATTTTACAGGAGTTTCAGAGAAAAATTAATAATGACCTAAAAAAAATAAAATAAAAGATGTGTTTAAATGCTCATTTTTTTTCATGGGTGGTGTGTTGAAACAACCCTGAAGGAGCTTGTCTTGCTTGCATGTTTATAATTTCTAAGAGCTGTTAATGACGTATGAATAAGAAAAGTAACTAAAATTACATTTTAATCTCAGTAAAGTGCTGTGCTGGGCATATACTGTTGCTGACTCATTCCATGTGTCAGCCACCCTCTAATAAAATAAAACTGTCAACTGGAACCTATTTCAAATTTTCAACTTGTATCCTATCATCCTGTTATCTTAGAAACATAACAAAAAGAAAGTAGGGGCCTTTGTTCTATCAATCTCTGAAAATTTTTGTAAAGCTTAAAATGGTTATCTCTTGCCTTTCTTTTCTCAAGAGATAATAACATAATAATATGCAAGGACCACAAGGGACCTGTTGATCCAGCTGAGCTGTCCCATCCACTAAACTATATAAAAACTCAAAGCCATCCCTTATCATTCAAATATTTATCAAGCTTTCACTTAAACTCCCTTAAATTTACTGTTTCCACCAGACCTAAACACAACCCCTTCCAAAAGCTAGTTACCCTGTTATGAAACCAAAACTGCCTTAGCAGAAGATGACTCCTACTCTTCCAAAATATATACTGGTGTTTCCCAGTCCTACCATTCTCAACATTAAATATGATGAAATGACACCATCAATCCCCTTTACCATCTTAAACACATCAACCAGATCCCCTTTAACTTTTCTGTTTTTGAGAGAAAATTATTTCGGAGATATTAACCTGCTATCATCTTAGTAACCTTCGTCTAAACCATTTCCAACAATTCAGTGTCCTTTCAAAGGTAAAGAGCTCTAGACTGAACACAATACTCCAAATGACGGTGACCTATACAATAAAATTATAACCTCTTTAGACTAATATTCAGTATTGCTGTAGATACAGCTTAAAATCCTATTTGCCCTACCACTGACAAGAGCACACTACTTAAATGGTTTAAGATACTGATGAACAAGAATACTATGATCCTGTTCTTCCATAACACTGTTAAAATTATTATTATCGAAATTAGACTCACAATTCAAATTATGATAACTTACCTTGTATTTACTTTAATTAAAAGCTATCTGCCTTTCATTTGTTCAATGCACCAAATGATTTAACAACCCTATTATTTGGCACCTTGTAAAATGCTTTCTGAAAATCCAGATATGCCAAACACACACCCTTATCTACATAAGCAGTAATCTCTACAGAGAATATCAAAAAAGTTAGAAACAAGATTTTTGCCTAGTAAAACCATGTTGACTATCCAGCAAATTTTTAAACTTTCTTGAATTATTTTGCAAAGCATCTTTTATTAAGCTTTCAAAAGCCTTTCCCACCACTGATGTAAGACTAATAGGCCTATAATAACCAGGACAATTTTTATCACCACCCTCGAAAAGAGGAGTAATATTAGCCAACTTCCAATCCTCTAGCTCCTGCCCACTATTCTAGGACTTGCAACAAAAAGTAGCAAGTGGCTGACATGTTCAATTCTTTACATCCTTCAAAACCCTTGGTGAAATATTATTTGGCCCAGGAGTCTTATCTTTAAAATTCCCAGTTTTTTCTTAAACTGAGAATTAATATATACATCTTGTTTAAACCAGAGATCTTTATAAGGCAGTATTAAGACCAAAACTATATGCAGTATTCCAAATATGAAGCCTAATTAGTGATTTATGTAGAGAGATAAAGATTTCTTTTGACTTGTAATCAGTATATCTTAGCTGATCTTTTGTTTGGCACCTTATCAAAAGCTTTTTGAAAACAAGTACACCAAGTCAACACCCTTTCCATCATCTAGATATCAAATAACATAGTCGAAAACAAAGACAATGTATTAGTAAGACAAGATATCCCTTTGGCAAATTCACGTTGGCTTTCATTTGTGAAACCAATAACTTATTGTGTGAAACTTCTTTTATCAGACTCTCTAGAACTATTTCCACTCCTGAAGGAAGATAATTATCATATAATTTCTGGGGCAACTCTTCTTGCCCTTTTTCAAAATAAGAACAACTCTCCACTTCTCAGGAGTCTACTCACTCTCTATTGATCTACCAAATTGAAGGAGAGGCTTCAAATAAAATCAAGGAGAAAGTCTTGTCTGGTCTTGGTGTCTTATCTACTGTTAATCTCATGCTCTTTCTTCTTACCACCAAAATATTAATATCTACGTAATTCTGGTAAATTTTCAGAAAATGCTCAAAGTGAGTAATATTGCTAATAGTTTGTCACGTAAACACAGAAGATAAGAAAACATTTAAAAGCTCAGCCATTTCATAGTCTTCAATAAATATCTTCCTTAAGGACCCAACCTCTATTTTAACATTTTACTTGCCTTTTATGTGCTTAAAAAAAATCCACATGCTTCCAGCCCATTTAGATTTCCAAATATATTTTATAACAAATCCTTAACTTTCCTGTCTTTGAACTTCTTAAATTGATGGTGTTTATCACAGATTTTCTTCTTCATGACTGTACTATTCCTTGTTATTCTCTTCATGTTAGGAACATGGATATCTTGAATTAAAACCAATTTCCTTTTTACAGTTTCCCAACTCTGTCTCCCATCACCTTTTAACTAATTATCCTAATTCGGTAATGATAAGTCTCATCTCATGGCCTCAAAATTGGCTTTCTGAAAAACAGGAACTAAAATTTCATGTAGTAAAATATCAAAACTTAATTATGCAGTGATACTCTTCCCTAATTGGTCTTATTACTGTATACAAGTTGGCTGGATTTTCAGCTGTTGTGGTTAGGTTCTGTTACTGACAAAAGTTGTCTAGGACTGTGATATATAGATCATAAAATGAATACTTGAAATGCTAATTCAATATACCTTTAGTTATGGGAATGTGAAAAAACGTTTAGTAACTTTGTAAGCCTTAAAATCTTTCTTACTTCCCCAGTTTAAGAATTGTGTAATCTAATTAGGAATTTTTATATTTGTGTGTTCTCAACTGAGTAAGGAGAGTTAGTAAGACTAGAATTTTAGAAAACACATAAATTGGTAAGGTTATGAAAGGGCATCTGGTCCATTAAGATCAAACCTGATCTTCTTTTAATTGCATGTAAGAGCAAGACTGTATTGGGGTTTGATATTTAAATTTATGTGTCAATTTTTAAAGTTATTGTGACCAATATAATCACTCCAGAAATCCAAAAATTCTAGTGGGGGAATCTTGTCTGATCACCTAAACTTTTTTCTTATTCAAAATTATCACTAATGTTCTTTTTACTTGGCATATCAAGAAGATGCTGTTTAAGGCCTAGCTTTTGGTACTAGTAAGAATATGGTTAGATAATATTACTGTACAACATGTGTACTAGTGATCGTAATATTGCTTCTCTGGAGGATTGTGTCTTTATATAAACGTTTGGTGAAATGTGATGAAAAAGATTCTGTTCCTACTTAAAAATTATTTTATTTCAACCAAGATCACATTCTAGAATGAGTGAATAGAAAAATTATAATAACTTTCAAGATTATATAATATTTGCTAAAATAGAGTTTTATAGCCCTTCTTCTGGATATTTCAAGTTAGTAATTACAATGAATTAAAAGTTAACAACTTAAAAGAATGTAGAAATAGATATAACTAAAATATACATCTTTCAAATTTATTGTGTTGCAAAGTTTTCAGTTTTATTGATCCATATTTTCTTTTTTTATCCACTTATTTTAGGTTTTGTTTGCTCTTCATGAAAAACGCTTACACTTCAAGTCAAATATCGTTAACTTGAGTAAAGGTGAACAATATCAACCATGGTATTTGAAGTTAAATCCACGAGGAGAGGTACCTGTGTTAAAGGATGGAGTGAAAGTAATCCCTGACTCGGAACGAATTATTGATTATCTCGAGGACAACTTTAGTAATGGTTCGTAGAGATTGAGCACATTAATAATATCATCAAATATTACATTGCAGATGAAATATGTAATACAGTAGAAAACTTTTATTCTTTCTATTATTTTATATTACAAAGATTCATCTGATTGAAATGTTAATTACGTGTTAAAGTTCATAAGAACTTGATCTTATTACAATAAAATGAGCTATTAACAGGGCAGTATCTATCTGTGTATGTTATTAGGTATAATGTGACTATCTAATAGGATTTTAGGTTGTGACAAAACATGAAAATTTGTTTGATGTCATGTCTGACTTAAATCAATATGAGATTTTATTTTAATGAAACACTGATTGAAATCTCCATATGATATTAATAAAATTTTCTTATAAAAGGTATTTAGTTCAATTTATAAACGTAAGTAAATGTCAGTGTTTTGTTTTAATAATTTTTTATTCAGTTATTAACCACACCCATTGTTTTGAGGAGTTCTTCATGCACATCCCTTCTTTTAGGCTACATGGACGTTTGCACATTTATGAACAGTTTTTGTTCTTTTTCTGACACTATGATTGTTAAAGTTCGGATTTTATCACTTTCACATTTTTTGTAATATTTATTCTCAGATTTTTTCATCCAAAGTTAGTAATTTAACTATCTCATTTTTTACCCAAAGTTGATAATCTAACAATTTCATTTTTCACCCGAAGCTGGTAATTCAACAATCTTGTTTTACAGTGTTATGGAACAGTCCCATGTTGGGCAACAGTTAATCTTTGATAATTTTTGGCTCAGATTTAAACTCGAGACCTCTCCCACACCAGGCAACTGAGCTAAAGGGGTAACCTACTGACTGGCACTAACTCAAACTACTATGCTACAAACGAAGCATTTCTTTGATAAAAGAAAGTAACAGTAAAACTAAGAGAAAGTTAGTTGGTCACATCCTCCAGTGAAAATTTTAAACAAACTCTGATGTATTATCATGTATATTAGATTTATTTAATCATCACTAAAGTTGCATATTCATTTATGAGCATTTTTAGCCATCAAGTAGTCAAACCAGTTACCACCTATGGCATTTACATTTTTAAAGAGAAGTTCTTGACTAACAAACCTGTATCAGTGCTAAATAAAATGAGTTCATCAGCTAAACTGTGTCCTAGAATATAAGAGCAATATTTAACGATATGAGGATTTTAAAAACATCACAAAATAATTTGGGAAGAAGGTCTAACTTTTGAAATTTCCATATTAACAAGTTTCTATAAGTTGTTCTTAATTTCAGAATATGATGTCAGGAAATGTAATAAACTTGTTTCTTCTTCATTATAATATTACTGAATATCTCCCTTCTATACAAGAAAAATCAAAATGACTTTGATTGAATATGGTGTACCATTTGCTTCAATAGCTATGCCATAGTTTCATAAAAAGGACATGCTATTGAAAAATGTGGAATTCTGAGTTTTAGAAGAAATTAAAGTTAAATATCATTCAGCTTATAATCTGACCAAGTTGTGTAATTTAATTTTTCTCATTCTTACTAAAAACTTTAAAATTAACACAATAAAGCTTTCACCAAACAGAGATTCGGGATTAGAGGTGAGCAACCTATGGCTACCATTGGCTGAACTCACACGCAGTCTTTCCACCAATTAGAACCAGGGATAAACAAACCAATCACAACATTTCCTCCACAGTTTCCCAAAATACTATAAAAGACCTACAACAGCTCACACGGACTGACCTGAAGATGAAAGACTTTTGAAATGTCGTCCTCTACACTCGTGTCTTGTTTTACAACAGGCAGGTGCCATCCATTCTGGTTTAATGTAGTTTCTTTTTGCAGGAAGCACTCCACGACTGATGCCAGAAAAAGGAACGGAAGAAACGCAGCATGTGAAACAGATGAGAGAACTTCTGGATGCTGTTCCTGTTCCTTTGATAACCTTCGGATGCTTGTATCATCATAAGTTGACAACTAACATGAAAATTTCATCGTTTGAAAGAAAACAACGTTTAAGTAAGCATTTTATTGTTATAAGTTTTATACTTCCTGAAGTTATCCATTTTTAGTGCGTATTATTGCACTCAAAGTTGTACATATTTTCAATGAGTGGAAAATAATTCAAGCACGAGTTAAGTTTGCGTAGGTATCAATAGCATTATGAAACATTTTTATGACTACAACCTATGCTGTCTCTATCTGTGCATTAGGACTTTGTTTTTATTAATTTTGGGTAATGTTTTCATAACTGAAGCTTCTATTAAGATCTGACTTAGTTGGAACATACAGGGAGAATTTTAAATCTATGTATAATGAAGATAGAAATTTATATGTTTTGTTTTAAAATGTCACAAAATATTAGTCTCTCTTTATAATTAAAATCAGCTAAATTTTGCTGGAGTGTCTTAACATAATTTGTAGTTAGAAATGTTCTCGACACTAAAAAAATTTTTTTTCATAATTGTTCATAGTAGTCTTGCTCTACCTTAATTTCTTTGGTATCTTTTTGTTTTTATAAGTGTGAGAAAGATGCACCTGAGAAAAAGTATTTTGTAAAAAGTTTTTGTGAGGAAATTTATTTCATATTGAAAGAACTGTTTCTAACTGTTCTGAGAAAAATTAAAAATATAAATGGCTAAAAAAATGTGAATTCTTATAAAAGGATTAATTTATTCTTGTTAATTTATCAACAGTAAATGTTTAGATTGTTTTTACTGTAATATATTTTGATAATGTGAAAAGGTTGGATTTGGATCAGATATGTTTTTTTTCTTCTTATATTAAGTTTTTAAATGTACAACCACTTAACATGTATAGTTGTAAACAAGGTATAAATATATTGAAATGTCCTTTCTCATATAGTCATTTAAACATCATAATTAATTGTGTATAACAGTGTTTCTCAACCACTGGTTCATTAACCGCATCTTGCCAGTCCATGGGATTTCACACGCTAAAAAAAATAGATAGAAGATTCATATGTAAATCATAATAGCTTTTCATTTTACTTGCATTTTAGTGGTCCATGACCTGTTTAGGGAGGCGGCGAGTCAGTCCCTGGTATTGAAAAGGTTAAGAAACACTAGTAGACATTATTATTATTAATGTTATAAAGCTTGTTCGTAAGTTGACTTTTCACTTCTAATTATGTTAAACTATTAAGAACAATTTCAAATTTGGTCAACCGCATTTCAGAAGCAAAAATAACTAAGTTCAGTCTCTTATATTTTTGTTGTTGGAATTTATAAATCAAACTATGTTATGATTACTTTTGGAAGTGTTGAAAAAGCTAATTTCTGTCATTTCTGATGTTACTTAAGCTAAATTATGTATCAACCATTCTTCAGTAAAACACGTGATGAGTTTCCAGAGTTTTAGTTCATTGTAATAATGAAATATCTTGGCTATTAATCCAAGTTTTAGAAGAATTAGCCATTTTTCTAAAGACTTATAAAACAAATCTATTATTCAGTGTACCATACACCTTTTTTATTAAAGTTAATTTCCTTATAAATACAAATATTTGTCCCTATATTTTGAAATATTTTACAAGTTGTATTTTCTGAGCTTTTTTTTTAGCAAATAAAATTGTTAGTACTAAGCTCTTTGCAATTGAATTTATTTAATCTAATGATTCATTGTAATCTTCTAAGGCTTCATGTCTACTGTATCAATTAATTTGGACCTAATGATGGAAAAATACCCAGAATTTAAAGAGTTGTATCAGGAAAAGAAACAACGTTTTGAGACATTCAGATCTGATACCCAACATGAGGATAAAGTAAAGGCAGTTCTAGATAATTTGGAAGGAACGTTAGACACTGTAGAACAAGAACTTGCTTCTCACGAAGGAGGTTAGATTTACCATCTCTTATTATTGTTAAATAGATGTTTTTCTTCTTTATATTTTTTTATTGACATAAATTAATGAAGAGTTTGAAAGATAGAAAGCATTTATTGAAGATTACTTTCTAAGAAGTGTACACAAATAATGAAAAAGTAATATTTATTGTTCTTCATACAGTACAAAATATTTTGGCAAATAAAATTAAGTTAGAAATTTCTAGAGGGCGTTGTTATGTTCCCCCATCTGCTTGACAACAGTTACTTTGTGAATTTTTTATATATATTTGCTGCAGTTTTGGGATGTCTTGCATAATTCATTATTTATATGTTTATTATTTACATAAATTATAAAGTGTCGGTTTCTGTTAAGGTGACTAAAAGTATGTTAGTAACTTTCTGCAGGTTTAAAGTAATAGCATGGATAAATTAATTGGATTATGAGCAGAAACATCACAATTAACCTATCATACCATTTTTTTGTAGGATTATGTAAAACTTTAAATCTTTTAACTGTGATAATGTTTTTCATTTTTAGTGTTAGTAAGTAATAAATATTGGTAAACAGCAATTTAAAAAGTTGTACAATAATTTTACAAACACGTTAAAATGATTTATCAGAAAGTATAAAGCATGTTTCAGCAAGAGTATGTTTTCACCATTATCAGGATTTAACCAAAATACAATTGTTAGATTTCAAAACTTCATGATTCAATATGAACAGTTTCTAATATCAAATGTTAAACCTGTTTGTTCAGTTAATCAGTCCAACACTAAAAGTTATAAAAGTCAAAATATTAAACAAGCTCTGGTCTTGAAATGTCTTCTTAGAACATTTTATAACAGTTTGTACTGTATTAACTTGTTAATGTTGTTGTAAGCAACATTTTTAATATTTCAATTTAGATGTTTGTTTGCTAGAGTACATATGATGTGATATTTAGAAAGTTCATGAAAGGCCTCTATAGAATCTTTAAATTTCATTCAGTATGTAAAAACTAGGATATGGTATAAGTACGAGAATCAGTTGTTAAGCTAAACATTGAGTTAGTTAGCATGTTTGTTAGTCATTTATTAGTGAGAGTTAATTTAACAAGTGAATTTTATTTGCAACCTAGGCATACCATTAAAAATACACTTATTTCCCTGTCTCTTATCTGTTTAGATAAATCTTCTTGGTGGCTGTGTAGTCAGAAGTTTGCTATTCCGGACATTACCCTGGCATTAATTCTTCACCGATTACACGAACTGGGACTTTCTGCCCGTTATCTGACTGTGGATAAGCGACCCCACCTGGTGCAGTATTTTAAACGAGTTCAAGAGAGGGAGGGGTACAAGAAGACACTTGGTCACGGAGCTGGTTTTTTACATAAAATATGTTGCAGTAAGAAAAAAGGTGTGGCTGCAATAGGTGTAGCTGCAACTGTAATTAGTGTTATAGCTCTTGGAGCTGTAGTATATAAACGGATGAAGTAAGAGTTTAAAGGGTTGAGGGCAGGTCAATAAAAAAACCTTTTCCAACTCCATAAATGATTGTGCATGAATAGATAGCTTTTAGATTGTACAGCTACGCAACAAATGTAATTTCTAGAAATTTTCTCTATTTCAACTTAAGCCTAACTGTTCAGAAGTAATGGATGCACTATGGACTGTGTTTATAATTTGATATATGAGATGCTGATAAAAAAGAAAGTATTAAGGTTACAATAAGAATATTTAATTTTTGTTAAAACTTCTGTTGTTAATATGGCCACAACTTTTCTCCTAGCCAAGCAACTTGTTTACTGTCAGTATTTTGATTTAACTTTTCTTAGGATTAATAAAAAAAAACGTGTCATTTGTGTCTCATTAAAAGATATATAAACTTAATGCTTTTTTTAGATAATATGGTTTAGAAATAACTCATAATATAAAGGTTTCTGTAATAAATGTTATGTTGATTTTCAGACAAGCAATTAAAAATAAAGAACATTTTTATTTTTTTGGTTGTGGAACAGAACTTATGAGAAATGTATTTAGATATGTATCCGTTTCTCTGGCATTTTCATTAGCATAATTAATAATAAGGGGTTCTTAACATTCCAAATGCACAAAAACAGAAAGAAAAAAATGCGCATAACGTATTCTGTTTGATATGCTGTAGAAAGCCTCTGCAAGATGTCTTAAAAATTGTGGCATTTTTTTTAAGATAGCTGTTGTTAATCAATGAATTATTTGCATATTTCCTTCTAAATTCTTTTGGCATTCAAGATATTTTTATTTTCAAGTCATGAATTATGTCGTTAAATTTTAGGACAGAACAATTAAACTTTATTGAAACCATAAACTAATTCATGTTAATGTTTTTTTAGCACCATCAACCATTGCATTGTTATTCAAAAATGGGTAATAAAAAGTCTACATAATGAATGTTGTTTTTTTACTCATTGGTTTTGGATTTGTCAAACAATCCGAAGTGATAAAGTTTGAGAGAAACATGTTTCGTGTACCTACAGATGTACGTTAATGCTTTCAATTTGTTGGCACTGTTTTACCAGTTTTCAGATCAACACACACACATTGATCTGAAAATAAAATATGACAGTAGGTGAATAAAACTGTAATTGTTGGTAATTTTTAAATATAAAAAGTTTTCAAGTTGCTTATTTTGATATGAAAAACTTTTCTTTGCGATTGTAACCAGTAGTTGCTAACTTACAATTTTTACTTAATAAGAAAAATGAAATGGTGTTGAAAGTTATTTGAATAGATTTTTTTCATTTATTAAATATATATATTCTACATATCAAAATAAACGAACTTAGATAAATAAAACTTAACTATCTGATAGTTACTCTGGATCCATTTTCAACTAATGATTAACTAGCTTATTGACGCTCCAGTGTTAAGAGAAAAATTACTTTTATAAAATCAGTACAATTGATATGCAAAATCATAAAATACCAGTATGACTCATCGTTATTTCAACTACACAATATTTTTCTATAATGAATTTTGTTTTTTAGATATTTGTTGTATCACCACAGAAGTCTAAAAAAATTGTTGTTATTGTAGATCTCTGACGACATGTTAGTGTTGCAGTAGAAATTGAATATTTTAGACTTTCATTTAGCACTGATGTCAAATACTATTATATGTAACAGTTATGTATGGTGTAATTTTTGAAGCTCTTTGGTATCCCCACCAGTAAGTCTGAAAGCTTATAATGCTTAAAATCTGGTTTCAATACTTGCAGTTGCCACAGCACAGACAGCCCATTTTGCACTTAACAACAACCAAAGAAGCACCGCTTTAGCAAGGCCTTACTTATGAACTGTAGACTGTTAAATTTAGACACGTTTGTACAATTAAATGAATATAGACATAACATGCACAAAAAACAGATTGTTTTGCAAGCGTTTATTAGTTTTCGTAATTATTTTTGTTAGGTATAATTGAAGCAATGTTGTAGCCTCCAAGTTATGAAAATTATTTTTTGTTGTGTTTATCTAGATACATGTGTTTAAAGTTCAATATTATGTGGTATATATACATAAAATGTTAAGCAGAGTACAAAAAAAAATTTATGAAAAGTAAACAAAACATGATTTGGTGTGCATAGTTTTTACATGACAATAGTTTTGTGAATTTGACATATTTTCAAATTAGAATATTATCATTCAATAGGCAATTATTTTTGCTACTACTACTAACACTGGCACCCCCTAGTGGCTTAGCAGTAGGGCTTATAATGCTAACAAATCGGGTTTTGATACCTGTGGTGGACAGAGCACAGATAACCCAATGTGTAGCTTTTCGCTTAACAACAAACAAATACTGGCAAATGTTATAGTTTAAAATTTTATTATTTATTTAAAACTCGCATGTAATTAAAACAATACACTTTGATTAGTTTGGTGTGGCATGTATTTTTTTTAACTTAAAAAAAAAGTAACTCTCAATCCTTAAACTGCCAAAGATATCCATTTCTCTTATAAAATAATAAATTTCTTCTTTCTTATATTATCTAAATAATTATTTTAAGTTATGGTTTTACTTCAATAACTCAGTTTTCTAATTAAGTTAAAACAATAAATAACTGGAGTATAATACAAAACAAAAATTACTCAACAATCCTGAGTATAATGTTAAAACAGTAAGTAAAACCAATGAATATAATTATTGAAAATAATCCAATATTAAAACGTTAAGTGCTTTGAATGTATAAAAAAAAAACAACAACATATTTTTCATGGTCAATTCATGAGAAAAGGCTCCTTTTACATGTTTGAATGACTTGAAAACTGATTGTACTATTTCATTTGAGTGTCACAGGTCGATTCTAGATCAGAATGAGGTAAGTAAACTTTTGGTCATGGAGATATTGCCCCCCAAGAATGGGATCTCAGCCATCTTCATCAGTGGTTCTCAGGTACACTTATGTTCGACAGATAAGTTTGAAATAGTATCCGGTAAATGGAGATTCAGGAAATCTACTGCAAAGAATAATTTTGAACTTGGATAGCAAAAGAAAGAACACACAAGTAAGCAAATAAAGCTTTAATCACAATTATATATGTATCGTCTATTTACTAGATTGGCCGACCTCTTTGTTCTCTGATGATTGTATTGGCTGCTGAGATTGATTGATAGGAGTCTCTCTCACTATTTTTTTTTTTTTCACTTTTATCCAATCATGTCTCAGACAACTTGAATTCCAATTTACTGCCAAAATTGAGACAAAATGTTAAAAGTGCAGTATACCAGAATCCAATGCTGCATATATCACCAACTATTCCAAATTATATTTAGAAAAGAAAATCCCTCACTCATACCAATTTGTACAAATATCTGAGCCAACCCTTGTGATCGGGTATCCCTCTGGGAGTAGATATAGGGCCAAGCGATACGAGATTCTAGCCAGCGACATATGCAAACTTTACCTGTGTAAAAGAATTAGTACATTTATTACCTTTCTACATCCAACTCACAAGAATGTTGCATTACATATAGAATGCTTAACAAAAAAGTTTTGTGCACATACCTGCCTAAAGGTATATTCAAAACAAATTAAGGAAGGGTGAAGATAACAACTATTTCAGTCATAATAATTTGTTGCTTTCAAGTTTCAGTTTTGATATCAGCTATATCACTGGTATGAACTTTTCTACTACCTCACCCTGTATTGTTTGAAACATTTTCACCATGCTCTGCAGTGCTATCCTGACAATTGGTTAAATATGTTTTCTGTTGTTTCTTCTGCTCACCAGACTGTTCGGTCATACAGTTCTTTATCTCGGAAACTGATGGAAATTTGTACTTGTGTGACTGCGTGAACACCCGCTCAGCTGAAAGTTTATGGGACTTAACACCTACACAACAATCAAATAATACTTTGATTTCTTCTTTATAAATATTGAGCACCACATTTTGAACACCTAGCCCATCAAAGTGCAAAGTTGCCTGTATTTTTAAAGTTTCAAATGTTAGATATACCAGCCAAATCAATACAGTTACTAAATGTGATAGAGGGAGTTGGTAATGTACAAACATAGATTAATGGTCGTGGTGTTTACATATTGTTCATATTTTTTTGCACATCCTTGTATCCATTTGCTTAAGCCCCTAATACACTGTTGACCAAAATACGTGTGTGTATTTGTAGACAAATAAAAAAAGGGATTACCCAAATGTTTTTTGTTTGTTTGTACAAGCAATATTGATTTTTAGTCTGACGTTAATTTACACTCGACATAATATCCTTATTCTTGACTTGGAAAGACTCTCTGAAGCACAATTAATCATGTTTTCAAAATCAGACAAACATGGCGTCCTTTTTTTATTATGAACTAGCCATTAAGTTTCTTTAGCAAAGAAAGAACAAAACAAGTGACATACAAACAAAACTTAGGTTAAAAAATTTGAATCTCTTTACACATCATTGTGAAATCTCATAATTCATAAAAACACCCAAGTTACAGCTGTGGTATTTTAAAGTAGACTGGCTTTGCTGAAGCTCAACTTTCACGTGGTTCTCACGAGTAAGTACAGAGACTCGAAGACTGAATGCCGTGAGAATCACACTCCTTCTATAAAACAATGCCTGTCTCTTTTATGATACAGTAAATATGGTAAAGGATACAACCCTTATTAAACCACAACAATCCTGTGTTTACTTCAAACAACAGCTTAGAAAAAAAGTTCATATTATGCTTAAACACCATCAAACTGTCAATCATAATAATTCTGAAATACCGTAACACACCCTACAAGACATTCCAAAATGTTAACACCAGTTTCACATCTACATATCATGTTTGAGTAAGCCAGACAGTTTAATAAAATTTATTCTGCACATATCAAAGATTACCTATAAATGTAGATAAATATACAAGTGAAATTATTGAGTTTTATATCTTAATTCAATGAAAAATTGATCAGTGCTACAATTAAATGTATCGGCAGAAATAAGAATCATTTAATGATTTAATTTTTCATTGAATTCAAAGTAGATCATTTTTGATTTTCAATTTTTTTAACTTATCATTATTTTTGGATTTGTCCAGATTCATAAACCCACAATTATAATTGATTAATCACAGTATAATTATAGAGTAATTAATGTAGTATTTCATTAAATATTTGATAACTTCATTCTGTTATAAATACTTTAAAATTGTTACTTTATTGAAGTAACAAAAACCATTATTCATCAGTAACTGTCGATAATCCAGGAAACTTCAATTTTACATTAAAAACAAAACAGTAAATGTGCATTTGGCTCACAGCCTTTAATAAATAAAACACACCATCTAATGGTGCTAACATAAATAAATATAAGTATGTCTGGTTATTTATTTGGCAAAATAACTATGTACCATCTTTTTTAAAACTTGAATGTTTTTTTTAGCTCTCATTAGAAGAATGGTCAACTTTTATGAATTTGAAGCTTTTACTAGTTTTTAGTGAGTAGGTGAAACTTGAAACTGTCAAATTAATTTTGTTTTCCTGTTCTTCAAGTCACAAAAAAGGCATTGTGAAATGCAATGGAAAATTATAAGGTCTACCCCATGATAAATATCTTTGTAATGTGATATCTGGTTGTTACATTCTCAAATATCAATGTTGATAACTTACAATGAGTATTTTTATTAACATTTACTTCTGATTGGATTAAGTTACATACAAGAATCAATAATAAAATATATCTAATTAAGTATACCATTCTTATGTTCTTACTTAAAACACTTAGAATGCATTATTTCATCCATTGAGTATCCTTGATATCAGTGATACTTTTGGTAAAAATATACCAATAATTTCATGAGGTTCAACTGTCTCAGGAAATTTAAGATGGTTCTAAATCCATATACCAAATTAACAATGAAAAATAATTTATATACTCAACGTATTACAAATGGATATTAAACATTCTAACCAATATTGTAAATGAAAGTAAACCGACAGGAGATTTACCTCATTTTGTTGACGTGTCTATACTTTGATGTAGTATAATCAAATTCTTTGCTTTAGAATCAAAATAAATCACATTATTTTGTCAAGATCTTTTGTGATTCATAAAACTTATACAAATTCCACTTTTCTACATGAAACGTTACTTTTTATACAAATGAAAACTGATAAATAATCATGTAAATGTACTATTTGAAATTCAACATTTTAACGTGTAACTTTTTACATTATGTCAATCATTTAAATGTGTGTTCTTTTCATCACACACGTTTGGCACAGCTCCAAGTGTAACCACGTATATGTGCTAATAAACCTTCAAGTTACACACCCTACGTAGCATAATACAGTTGATAGCCAATCACATATCAACAGTATGAGCATTGAATTGATAAAATATGCCACGTTTGGTTTTATAAGCTGTATCTTGAAATTGTAGTAATAAACACATTTCCACAGTGGAGATAAAATACACTGATAATGATAGATTATAACACCGTGCAGTGTATTAACTCTAGAAAAATTATGATGATAGAAATTATATTACTGCTTTTTTTTTAACACTTGTACTGATTTTTTTTAGATTTATGCTAGGTTTAAAAACCGAGTGGTGTTTTGAGAAAATATTGTAATTTTCATTCTCTTTGGTTTTATGACATAATGCATGTTGAGTTTTCAGGTTATAAAACTTTTTTACCTCACAAGTTTATAACTCTTAGCATAAACAAAAGGAAAAAATTAATGAGGTAGACAAGCATAGGCATGTGTAGTGTGAAATTTTAAATATAATTTTATGGCAGAATGTTATGTTTGCACTTAATCATTATGACATTACTTTTAAGACAATTAAGATAAGTTGCAGTTAATTCATATCTGAGATATATATATATATATATAATGTTTGGCTGGTTTATCATAATGTGACTTATCTTTTATATTTGCTTCAATATTTAAAAACTAAAAAAATTGTATTTCATCATACTTACCACTTTATATGTTTAAACCTTTCTAAAAATTAAAATTACAATAAATTATTGATGAGTGAATATGTGCAACAAACTTACAACGAATTTATTTTTCTCACTGTACTTGCATAAAAGTAGGCTTTTACATAACTTGTTTAGTTCTGTAAGTCAAGGTAATTAAATAAACCAACTCCAGGAAGGCCAGGTGATAGCTTTACTTGATACCACAAGCGATAAGTAGCAAACCATACACCAACTGCAAACACGTTCCCAACTAATTTCTGAACCATGTTGTGAAAGTAAAGAGTAGTGGCCATTAGCATAACATCCCACAAAAGTAATAAAACGGTCATCAAAACAAAAGTCAACCGCACATACTGTGTATACTGCTCATAAGACTTTTTCAGTTCAGACATCTGTTCTTCCGACAGTGTTTTCAGTGGACTCTCATCTTCAAACTCATCATTTCTTATAATTAATTCTCCAATCCGTTCCCACCCTTTAATACACTTTCCTTCTTCCATTATAATCAAGCAACAGTAAATCAAAAGAAATGTGTCCCCCGAAATATCAAATCCCATCCATTTATGCCCATTTTCCTTACATAAATCTTTTGTTTTATATTTCTTTCCTTGACCTCTTACTTGACATTCTGCAGTCCATATTTCAATGTATTCAAAGAGAGTTGTGAAACAAAACCACACTAAAGTTCCGACCAATAGTCGACTCATGTGTTTACGGATGAGTACTAAATCATTACAACAGTATATCCTACTGGTAAAATATACAAAAACGGCAACTACCAAAAGTGTCCAACCCCATCCAAGCTTGATAAAATACTGGTTCATAAAATTATCTTGTCGTGAAAAATAGGATCTCGGAAAAGGGAGGAAATCACATATCAAAGATGCAAAAAATACAACACCCGTATATATACATATTTTCCTTTCTGGTTTTAACAGGACAATCTTCCGACAAACATGCATTAATAACGTAATTCCAAGTTGCATCAAAGTAACAGGACCTGGAAGAGGCTTTCTACCAGCTGTATGAGATTTGATAGTATGAAAAGTTTGCCATTTTAAACCTGTTGAGGCAGCACGAAGTTGTTTCCGTCCACCCGCCATAATGATGATGTTTTAATATTACGTTCGAATTTCATCGCTAACAATCTATGAAATGCAAACATGGGGAGTAATATATATATATATATATATTTTTATAACATTAAATTTAATTTGTTAATTAAAAAGTATTTATGTTTCCGAGTTACTGTTGTATTAGTTATCCTCAAAAGTGGCTTAAAATGTTCCTTTAAAATCAAAGTGCAGGTCATGGTTTTGTCCAATGAATACGGGTGAAACCTTTGACAGTCTTGAAGACAAATCTTATAACGACTTATATTTCAGGCCAAAGTGGCATATCATCTAATGAGAAAGTGGACCACCTAGTTGGTAAGTCGTATTCTTTGGACGATTTAGTAAGAACTTCCTAAATGTGAAATAGTAGTAGCGGTGACATTAAATCATCTTGTTTACATCGGCAGAAGAGCAAATGATTAGTAGAACCTAAATTGAGGTTTTTATTAACAATATAGATCTTTAAAGTGGTCTCATACTAATGAGACTCGAGGTCTAATCAGTTTTGTGGGTAAATAACAAGATTAGGAATAACGTCGCTATCTGGAATTCGCATCTTTGAAGTCGAACTAATTCCAGCCAATCAATCTTGACAAAGTTTCTATTATAGCACCCTTTGTCACAAACCTGGAGTTCTGAGTGAAACTACACTAAAACTAATCCAACATTTAAAAATAGATCTAATTTTTAATCATAACACAGAGCCCTGCAAGTTTTTTTTTTTTTTTTTGTTGTTTTTGTTTACTAATTAAGTGAACGTTGAAATCACTCGCGAATTGAAACCTTACATTTCAGTCAGGTGCGTTAAAATTATTTAAAGTAGTAAAAGTGTCAGTTACGACCATAAAATGTATAACAATTCCGTGGCGTATATAGCTTTAGATTGAAGGCATAAACGTGGATCAAATTCAATCCCACTATGACCTGGAGACAAGTAACGAATGATTTAGGATCGTGTATAAATAAATGCTCGTGTTTTTTTCAGGCATTTACACATTTAAGGACAGGAAACCTTCTCTAATACAAAATTATATATATTTATAGTTCAGATTCTATTAAAATTCTAGAAACAATAACGAAAATTATTTAAAATATTTTGTTTTTCATTAATGGTATATTTAATTGTATTTCTAGAAATGTAATGTATTTCTTAAAAGGGGTAAGTTGTGGTGAAATTTATGTTGATAAAACAGCTAATTTAAAATTAAGGATGAATTTACACAAAGTCCAGATCGAACTTCCACGAAAAAGCTCATTACGTGCCAATAAACGTTTCAATAAGTGTATTTTGAACACATTTAAAATTCTGAAAGAACCATATTTACATGTGTTATTAGGTTGATATATTATAGATGACTTTGTCAGTGTGTGTATTCTTCAAACCTCTTTAATCAACGGTGACTCTAAATTAAGAAGTTAACAAATATTTATTTTTAAATTTCAAGTTTATACGTTTCATCTTATACTTTCAGTACATAGAATAAAAACAGTATTAGGTTATACTTTTGTTGCTAAGCAACATCACATAAAAACCATTGTTGGAACACATTCTAACCAAAACGCACTGGCTTTTCTGTATATTAGAAGTTGTTATATAAGGAACCACTTGTTCTCTATATGGTTTTTCGCTAGCTTGTCTCATTAAAAAGCTGCACACGTACGCGAATAAGTAATATTACCCAGGTGCACACCCTCACGGTCCATTTAGTATGGGTGCAAAATTTCAGGTTTCTAGGTTATTTGCTCTTGGTGCTATGGCAGTCACACACAGGCAAACAGACACGCCATTTTATTATTATAGAAATAAATCGTTTTGCTATAATAACAAGAAAAAGTATAATTGAAATCGTTTTTAATAAAAAAAAGTAAAGGAATAGAAAAGTATATTTGATAAACTTAAACTAATTTATTTTGAGTATGTTTTAATGTGTTTAATTTATATCAGGATTGTATTTTATGTTTATACATTTTTAAAAATATCTTTTTAATTCAAGTAATTTATGTTTCGTTGAAAAGTGGTATTTAAATGATTATCTGTAAAATTACACCATGAACAGTGACCCTTGAAGTCACGAAACCGGTAGAATGTAATAGAGAGAAAAACAGGCGAGTTCAAGAATTGTAATGTTTTTGGCCTGGCATGGCCTGGTGGTTAGGGTGCTCAACTTTCAAATCCAAATCAATTGTAATGTGTGAATATTAACAAAACATCCATAAATATAACTGAGTGATATAAGGAATGATGATATAACTTAACCAGTTGCAAGTCATGTTTTTGAAAAAGCAAAAGAGAAAACCAGTTCATACTAAAAACAATTAGTACATTTAACAGAGCAACAAAAATTCTGACAATGATACCAAATATATACAGCTTGAATTTCAGAGATTTTTCTCGAGTTTTATCATTGTGCTTGAAATCTTTACATTTCTCTCAATATGTCAAGATGCTAAACCCCCCCACAGCTCAGTGGTAAGTCTGATTATAACACTAAAAATTGGATTTTGATAACTACAGCGAACAGAGCACAGATAGCCCATTGTGAGCTTTTGTCGTTAACAAACTACCGTATTTATTAAATACACATTTTTAAAAGGTCATTCAGAATTTTTGTAAGTTCAGACTTCCTGTAATGGATTGTGAAGATATTCTCTATTATAGTCTCAAGAATAAAACTGAATTCATACCAAAATAACAGCTCTGATAATTCTGAAAATGGCACGTCTTTAAAATGGTGCATAATAATAATACACATTCACTGTTTTTTTGGGTATGTGAACTTTATATAAATAGCATCTGTACTCTACATCATGTAGGCTTGGACAATGTGGGGTATACAAGGGTGAATATTACCCTTACTCTCTTTCATAACACAGCATTTGTCGTCCTTACTAAATCATGCTATGGTTTCGTTATATATAAACCCCGTGACCCTTTTCTATAATCATGGCAAACATAAATGTTCACTTTAGTATAGCAAGGCTAAACTGTCTTAATTTAGTGTTCAAAAATTACACATTACCCTCTTGTTTCTACTATTCTCATGACCTTTAATTTTTTAACAAATAAAAAACTGTTTATCCAGTTCATTATTTCTTACTATAATTTTCTAAACTGAACAATTCAGATAGTTTATTTCTATTTTAAAATTAGTTTGAAGAAAGCATTTCCATCATTCATTTTCTATCAAATATTTTTGGTAAAAAGCAAAAACTTGCAAGTTTAAATAAAAGCTTTGAACCAACAATTTTAACGTAATGATTTAGAAGTCCATTTCCATAATTGTACTAAAAAATCTATTTATTACACAGAATAAACTCTATTTGACTTATTTACAGGATCAAATGTACAAAATAATGATAACTAATACAAGTCAATTTCTTAAGTGCTTCAGGAGTTTTGTTTCAAACATATGTTAAATATCTTGTGTCCACTTTTACAAAAAACTTTAGTGACATGAAAGGATCGTTTCTTCAGATGTTCCTGAACCCAGGTCTGGAAAATAATCTGAAAGAACAATATACATATATTCTTAAAATGTTTAAGATGAAGTTATAAGAATTTTTTTCAGACTTCAAATAACTTATTCACTATTCTATAAAGTTTGAAAAATGAGATTTATTTGTAACGTAGAAAATTTCACTCTTTCAGCCAAAAACAATAATTTATGGCACTTTTTTTTAAGGCATTTTGGTTTAAAGAAAAAGTCAGTAACACTAACAACCATTGCATGTCATAAAACAGATGACAATTTGTTAAGTATAGGTCTCTTATATTAATGGTAAATTGCTTTAATAAATTCAATATGAAATCTCAACTTTTCTACACTTGCCATCCAGTATTTAGCCTACTATGTTGAGCTGGTTACAATCAGCAGACAGCTATATTGTGACATAAAATCAAGGTGTCCATATTACCCATGATGCAATGCTGATAAAAATAAACGATGCCCATGAAACAGTAATTAACTGGATACATAACTGATTTGCATGCAGCATGTACACAGCTAATAATGTTGGTGTAGAAATACTTGTATTTATGTGTATTTCATGTACAGATGTGTTTGTAGAAACATGCTGGGAATGTAAGATACATTGAACTTTAAAATCATGTTAAGATCACTGAAGTAATAGTTTACTGTCCGTCTTCTACGTCCTTGAAGGAGAAAAAAATAAAGTTACTATTTTACATAAATGTTTTTCTAGAAATAATTAGTTTTTGATAATAACTTTGATTTTTCTTTACTACTTAAATTATGTTAAATAAAGATTGGTCTATCAGGAAAAATAGGTCAAAAATAAAAGTACATCTAAAAAACTAATAAAATTTGTCTTTATATTTTCACAATTTCAGACTTCTGTACCGTTAACATCTACACAAAAGAATCTCACCAGTGTTTATCACTAACCTGGAGGTCAGGAAGAATGGACATCACTTGTTCTGTCCTATTTCCAACACACCATGCTATGCTCATGTGAAACGATGGATCCTAGATATGGCACACGAAAACAATTTTATCACAATTTAAAACAAAATTAAACTCTTAAAGTTAGATCTGCATGGTGCAAGAATTCATCTTCTGATAGATTATGTGAAAATAATTTAACAACACTGTACTTCCAGTTTTCACATCACATGTAGAAATGTTTCTAACCTGAAGAAGAGCTCATAAGTAAGATTCAAAATATGCAACACATAAAACTACAAAGTGGGGTTAGGTTGTCATTTATAGACATTAATTTCCAGTCGAAACAAAAATAAAATTCAATTTCACATCAGTAATGACTATATCTAATTAAATATACTTTTATTACATTTTTTTTATTTATAAAGATTAGAATGCATTGTTTCATCAGTTGGATACTGCTGTTGAGGATATTTCTGATATATTGTCAGAGGTTGCATTAGGGTTTTAAAAATGCATACTCTGAGTGAATAGGTTACCAAAAATTGCATACACGAGACTTATGATTAGAGGAGACAGATGACAAAAACTGTTTACACTGACTGTCCACTCACTTGGACGAAGACAGCCTGTTCACAGTTTTTGCCACCATGCAGCTAATCTCCCCATAATTCAGCTGGCCATCTAGAGTCTACATGGAATGTCATCAGATACACAAGAAAAATAACACATAGAGCAAAAACTTAGACTGATAATATTTTGTAAAGTGAAGGAACTCCTGTCATTTTGTCAAGCCAAGATGTAGATATCAGAAGAAAAAAAAAACATACAATATGTGCATGATGTTCCAGCGTTTGAATACAGGGAGATATTTATGTATAATAGATACCTAATATTGCATTAATGCAACCTCTGTACATACAGAATATCAGAACAGTACCTTATAAAACTGTGGAAGTTTAAACTCTTCTAAGCAGTTATTCACTCTTTCTGTCAGTTGTTTCAGATAGTTTATTCCGTGGTGAACTTTCAATCCAATGAATGTCCTGTTAAAATCAACAACACATTTATATAACTACTTAAAAGTCATATATGAGTTTAGATTATTTGTAAAATATGTTTACAAAACTGTTATGAAACCAAACAAAAAATGGATATACAGCTTTATATTCTGTATGAAAAGAACCCAGTTTCAGATATTTATTTATTAAATCAACTTACTTCTAAATTAACAACCTCATTTTATAGACTATGAATCTAGAACTTTTATTTTATAAATTATAATCATATATATAAAAGTTACCTTAAAACCTAGTTTGCCAAATGAAGCTTTCGGGACTCCAACAATAAATTGTTATAATTTTTTTATGCATATTTTTTTATTACTTATGTGTGAATACCTAGTTGAAGTAAAACACCAATAAGTGAATTTTACTATAAAGAAGTCTACAATGCAAGTTTTACCACTGCTTTTTCAAGTGCATTTATTTCAAATTTATTTACACAAAACTAAATTTATTTGGGGATTTATCCTTCAGCTTTTCAGTTTAAACCACAAGTTTTTTTTATATTAAATTTCTACAAGACATTCTGGTAAACAAGCTTAGAATAAATGTTGACCTGCGGATGTGTGTCACAAGTCATTTTTCATAAGAATTAAAAAGTCCTTAACAAATCAGGATCCTCGAAAAAGAAAATTAAATAAACATTACCAATTACTGATACATTTCGTGGATTATGTTAATGGAGTTAGAAACCTTAAAATAAGCATTCTTTGAAAAACAGGATAAAATAAAACTCACCGTGTTTCCTCTTGATTTGCATACACATCCACAGAGTTAAATGAAACAGTAAAACTACAAAAAAAATACTATATGTTAGTGTTTATAGTAAACAAGATATATTATATACCTTACATGACATAAGTTATGTTTTCAGTTTATGTTACAAAAATTAGTATGTAATATTACATTCAAAATGATACTGACTTTAATCTATGAAAACACAGACCTTTCTATTACAAATAAACTCTTGCCCTATGCACATTAACTAAAAGATAAAACTGATTATCAGTTATCATCTCATTTCAAAAGATTAATATAAATATATTACTAATAATTCAGTAACTTAGAGTCACTGGTATTTTTTCTCTCAGGAACACATGCCCCCTACACTTACAATGTTTGATTAAATGCATTTCTAAATTTTTAGTTCACTGTTTGTTCATAAAACTTAAACACATTATCCAGATCTTTCAAAACTACCATGAATTTGTTTGGGTTAAATATTAAGGCAACAATAATATTAACAACCATATAAATGCATACATCTGTCAGTTTCTTTTTTCTTTATTGCATAAAATCACAAAAAAAGAACATCTTTTGGAGTGAAAACTTCCCTTAGTTTGCTTAGATGTACCAAACTTTCAAGATTAATTAATTATATAAGCATACATATGTAGCTCTATACTTAGAACTTATCTTGTCAATCATGTTTAGCATAACAACAACAAGTCCTTATATGAAATTAAATATTTTTTTCAAATGGAAGAATAACAACTTAAACTGTTGAATAGTCCAATTATCATCCTACATTTTGAAATAAAAATATCTGACACTACTGACCAAATAAATCAAAAATAAATAAGTCCAATCTTTGCTATGATTCACAAAAATTTTATCTGGTCTACGACTATCCATATATGTTGAGTTTCTAAACAATTTTTGTAATTTCCAGTATATGTATAAACAAAATATTATAGATTTATAGTGTGCATGAACTAGCATATATATCTTATAGTGTAATACATGACACGTGGTTTTCAGCACTTACATGAATTTTGTTACAACGTACATTGTTTAGCCATACATACTTAAGTAAATATCGATAGATTAATAACAGTGATGATTGAGTAAATGTAATGTAAGCCTACATGAAATATCACTTAAATTTTGCATACAAAGTAAAGATGATAATATGCAGAAATAGAATACTTTGGAATTTCACGTAATGTATTTTTCAGACCATCAACGAGTGGCTCTATCCAATGATGGCGCAGTTGCTGAGTGTGGGATAAACTAAGATGAAAATCCTCTGAGACAGTAAATTTCACATCCTGTTGGAGTGCAAATCCCACCAGTAGGCTACTCAAACTGAGAAACTCTTGACTTGGGGTATCTGAAAATATGCAGCTTTTTCTGATAATGATAGGAATATAAACATCAGAAAAACACATTTAAACAGAAAGTCAAGTTTTGAAATGTTGCACAAATACACACAACTATTAAAACCACAAAAACGTTTTTCTTTTTAATTAAAACACTGTTTAAGACAAAGACGTCTTTATTCATAGTAACGTACACCAATATAGAGAAAGACAGAGGAAGCATTCAAAGTGATCCCCCCTTTCTTCATAATTAAAAAAGAACCACAAACTTGCATTTGTTTGCATATTTCAATTCTTACACTTTTGGTTTTGCCAAGTCTTATTTGAAAACAATGTCATAAGAATGTATTTCTATGGTCCTTTACAGCTTCTACAAACTGATATAACCTATAAAACAAACTCTAAAGATCACAAATAAATAACCTATTCTATGTTCGTATGTTTACATATGAAATAAAAGCATTATGCACAGAGATATTTTATTTAATCGACTCAAGTATTCAGCCTGGACAGCTCTGGGTTTAATAGTACCAATTACGGTATTGACATTTTGGGGAAATATTACACGATACATTAATATGTCACTGACATGTACTTTAAATGTACTTACAAGGCACAAAAACGTAAGTTGCCCATACACCACGTTCATGAGGGAAGCTGCGAATTCTTCCACCACGTTGTTTAGTGTCATCTTTATAGGGGATACTGGTTGAATCATCAAACATTTGTAAAACCTGTTCTGGAACTTGTAAACGGGGTCTGTTAGCTTTCAATCAAGGACATCGTACAAGACAAAAACATATTCTTCAATAAAGAAAACTTCCAGAAGGTTGTCCATTATAAGTCCAATTCACCAACAGATCCATTACTAATCATGATCTTTAAAGAAGATATTTGATATTGTTTCATAATGATAATCTCTTATAATAAAGCTACTTTATTGTATATTTAAGTTTTAATTATAGTTCATGTCTTTTTCAGGTTTCATGAAATATTTACAATTAAAACTTAAGGATTTAAATTAGGATATCGAGAAGAAATAAAAATTATACAACCTTACTCTCACCAAAAAATAACATTATTTAATGTTTGGAATTTAGATGGTTCCTCATTAGTTAGCTTTGTGAACAAGTCATGATTTTTAGGAGCTTAATTCCTAGATTATCATTTTGGTTTTCTTTATCAATTATTTTACTTTTGTGCCAATCTGTACTACATCTTATGTCTTGTTACATGTTCAATGATAGCAGAAGAGTTTGGCTTCATCAGCCTTAGAGCGTTTTGGTTTTCTTTAAGTCTTTGTTTTAAAGTCTTCTTTTTCTCATACATAAAAATATTACAATTTCCACCTAACAGTCTGCTAGCCAGTTTCAGTATGAAGACACGCTTACCAATGTTTTAACTTAACCTAGTATGACAAGAACTACAAACAGCTGAAACCCTCTATACCAAAATAAGTTTTCCATGGACACAATTATGGAATTAGTACTCTATGTACAAAACCAGTCTACTTCCAAATTCAAGTCTCTTTATGAACAAACAGAAGGTTAAGTTATTAGTTCCATCTTATCACCAATACTCAATGATTAATACATGGAAAAATGTAAAAACTTAGCCATGGAAACAGCAAAGATGTGGTTCATTACTTTGTGATTTGGCCACATAGTAGAGAATTATTTGGTGTTTGTGAAAGTGTCCATTGACAAGTTCCAGAACAGGTATCCTACATAAAGTTAATAAAGATTGATGAAGCCTAATTCTTCAGCTGTCATTAAACACATTATGGACAGAGGTCACAGCATAGATTGGCACAAAAGCAAATAATTAACAAAGAAAGTAACACAAAAACTTGAAAAATAAAAGAAACTACAAATCAGAATGAAAATCACTGCACCTGTGCTTAACAGAGACTCAGGAATGGAGATCAACAATCTATGAATTAAATTTCTCAAAAATTAGCCAGTCACAAGCCTTGTTCGCAAAACCAACCAATCAAGAACTACTTACACTCAACAAATCAAGATAATAACTAATCAGAACAACAACATAACAAGAGCTCTCCATAACAGGTGCTATACAAGAAAAAAAAACATACATTCTATAAAATAACAGACCTAAATCATATTCACAAAACTGTATCAAAATACATGTTACATTTTAAACACTGCACATCATACTAAAAAAAAACTTCCAGGTGAATATTTCACAAACAAATTCCATAATCATATTATCAACAAAACAACTTTAAGTCAGTTATATATGCAAAAGATGATAAGCACAGTAAAATTATTGGCTGTTGTTACTGGTACTGACAAAAACATGGCAGTAAAAGCCACTAACTTACTATTTCAACCCACCAGTAGCAGTCACTGCTACAGAAAAACTATTGACAACAAACATCAACAGTTTAAATTAGCTCACCTGACTAACTCCAATAGCCACGTGATCTGTCATAAAATGAACAACATTAGTGATCATGAGCCAATTGATAATAGTAGCAGTAACAGGGGAGAATATTGACAAAAGTGTTGGAATAACCTTTTCTTCCTTCGGTAAATTTCAAACTAGTCTAGATCACCTTAAAAGAACAGGACCTCACCCATTTCTTTTCTTTAATAGCCAGACAAGACTGTAAAAAAGTATAATCACAAAACTACTGTGTTTATTGTGTACACTATGGTTGTAGATGTACTAACTGATAGAATGCAGTTGTAATAAATGTAGGTCATTAGCTATGGTAAAAATGTTTGTGTGATGATGTATTACTTCACTTGCAAAGCACAGATATATATTTGGTGCATGTAGCACTATTGTTGCGAAATGCTTTGGACTTCCTGGCCTGTAGTTTAATTTACTGTTGTTGATTATAGTAGCATTATTGTAGTTTTAATTGCCACCATCTTATCAGTGTCAATAGCCACTTCAAAAAGTATTTATTCAAATCTATCATTACTTAATACTCGTACTTTACACAGTGTTGAAAGATAAAGTTAAAACTTAAACTTAGAATTTTATTAATCTATTAAGTATCCTCGAAATCTCACCTTTTAGTTTTACACCGATTTTCTGCAATCTCACAGTCATTATGGGCACTTTCTGAAAAATAACTTTCAGTTTCAGAAGTAAGTTTGTCTTTCCTTAACTTTAAAGAAACGTATGAAGGTTTACGGTTAATACTTTCACTTGAAGTTATGGTTAGACCTAATGTGGCGTCTTCATTTTTTCTAATTTCAGTCTTATTCTTACTAGGTTTAGTGAAGTTAGTCTTCAGCAGGGTGCTTTCGCATTTTGCTGAAAATAATCCGAACGACGAAAGATGATTAACTTCCTGTGATTCTGTATCAATTTCATCACTTACTTTGAAAGTTTTCTGGTATTCTGGAGCACGTACATCGTCTTCTTTGTCGTTTTCGTTATCACTAGAAGAATAATAATTATCTGCGATTGCTCCTAAACAATCTTGCCCATTCGAAGGTGAGGCCATTTTTTTTAAATTGTGGCGTCACCTATAATACAGTGATGTCAAGAAAGGAAAATATATTACTATATTTAATTTCTAAAAGGTATACGATACTAATTATTTATGAAATTGTTAAGATAGTTTCTGATAATTTTACCCCTTTTGCTATTAAAATGTTTAACTTTATTATTTTGTGTGCATGATATATTTATTCAACTAACGCGGGACTGATAATGTTACGAGTGAAGTGGATAAAATATTTGGAGGGACATAATTTAATTAAATTAAAAGAGTTTGGCTCGAGAATCAAACATCACACTTCAGTACTATGACTACTTCAATTTAGTTTACTTATACGTGTATATATGTATGTATTTGTGTTTCTGTATGAACGAAAATAATCACTGTATGAAAAAAATCTTCAGTGCGAACTTCCAGATCCATGAGTTAACTCACTAAAGTATAATCTAAAACTGAAAATTTCGGAATGTCATGTGATTTTTTAAAATTCACGCTAAACACTGGCTCAGCGAAATTTGTTTGATTTGCTGTTTACAGCAACTTATGCATTTTTAAAGCCCTGATAAAGTATGTGCAATTTCAGAGATCTTAAAGGAGGTTTGAAAAGAGGTAGAGCAGTTTACTACACGAAGCTATGGCAACATAATAGATACTGTGACATCTTGCTCAACAAGTATTTATTTACTTTATCATTTACAAAATTATCTGTTGTCTTATTGTATTCTTAAAAGTTGTCGACAAGATATTATTTATTGAAACAGTCAGGTTAATTAATAATTAAGAGATATTAGGATTGATTTTTTTACTTTTATCACAGCATTAAAAACATTTGTTCTGATATTTGTTTAAATTCCAGTAGCTCATATAAGAGAGTCTTTTTAATACAGTTTTACAAGCCGAACTGTCGCCCTATAAATCAACACTAACTCTTTATACTTACAATGCTAAAATCCGGAGTTCAGTTCCCGCGGTGGATAAAGCGCTTATAGCCCATCGCGTAGCTTTGCGCTAAAACAAACAAACAAAGAATAACGAATCGAATTTGAATCTTTATTTTTTACATTTGATGTTAATTCTTTTGCTGTTTTGTGTTGTAACTTTTTTTGGAGGAAAGCCCGTCTTAGCACGCTTGTTTCAGATTCGAACTTATACCATTCTTATTTACACAACCTGTAACGGTCTACTATAAGTAGTGCACTACTATTCGTGGGCACTATGAAAAGTTAAGACCGAAATCGGATAATTTAAACTTCGCCTTAAAAGCGAATTATATTAAAATCAATTAATCACAAAATTCCACTAATTTTGTTTCCACAGAACGTATTCATACTATGGACATTTGAAATGCATTTGTTATAAGATCCAATCAACAGCGTTAAAAAATTAAAATCATGTTGCAGTACTCATGAATAATTTGTTATAACTAAAAATAAAATAAAAAATAAAAATGGACTAGTGTTTTTACCAGTTTTAAATTGAAATACTTTCCCCTTAAGGTATGAGCTTTGAAAGTAAATACAAAATTAGTTAATTACACAAAAAATTAAAATGTGATTGATAAAAAAATAAAATACACTTTCAACGTCCCCAAAATATGTTAAAATGTATTACAAACTTTGTCTTAGTAAAAATGGTATCATAAAATGATTCGCTCAAAACTTTTTGCCCAATTTTTTTCGTCCCCTGGTGGAACAGCGTTAAGTTTACAGACTAAAATCCGGGGTTAGATTCTCCGCGGTGGGCACAGAAGATAACCCAATGTGGCTTTCCTCGAAAAGATACATACAAACCAAACACACTTTTTTGTAAGATGGGATGTTAAAACTAATTTCTGTAATTTGATCGAAGCTGTTTTTGTGAGTGAATTTATTGTTTTTAATTATCCCCTCTAGACGGCAGGAGCGTGTTAAACTTGAAAAGAATAGGGCTATTAATTAGTTACTAAACTTAAACTATAATTTAGAAGGCTAATAATTAGAGATTGAAAATAATGCTCATAATAGAAAAGAAAATACAAACAATTTAAATTATAATGACTTGATTGCACTAAATCATCAGTTGGGCGATATGTAGTTATAGAAGTTTTATTCTGAATAACTTAGGACTAGGAGATAGATTTATCATTTAATGATTTAGGTTATCCCTAAAGTAAATGAGATGGATCTAGGTTACCCCTAAATCATATAGACCAACAAAGAAATTTATAACAGTAACTGAGTAAGTATCCTTCATACGTTTATTTAAAAAGTTTAGATATACAAAAACTATTTAAAGTAATGTCACACAACAAATTTCGAATCTGAAATTATAATTAATTTTAGTATTATTTCAAGGCTTATAAATGCGCAGTCTCAACTTCTTATTCGTGCAGCTTTTTAATGTTTTTAAAAGGTGTGTAGCAACTTACAACAAATCGTATCAATAGATTATCTCAAAGAAAGCCTTTTTGATATAACTTTATATTTCTAGTTCCTTCCTGACTTTATTGTAAAAAACGGGTGAAACTTCTCACTCTATGTTGAATACGCCAAACAATCGAATTATCCTAAAATTTCATTCCACTGTTGATATTAATATTTTTATATTATACTAGACCACCGAGACCTGTTGGGTCAACCACTATTCAGAGGTTATGAAGAATTCAAGCTAATTTCATTATTGCACCGAAATACAGGTTTATTTTGAAATCATTTAATTAAATATTTCAATCCATCGGTGTTATTCACAATTCAAGGAAAATATATTTGATTGTTGTCATTTTACGCCTTTTAATGAAGATGGGAACATTGACAAGGAAATAATATAATAGCCAATGCGCGGCGAGAGGTTTTCGTATATAAAATTTTGTTGTTGTTCTCGACTTGATTTTTATTTTATTACCTCGTCTCCATAGTTACTGTTTGCAAATAGTCAATAATATTGTAGGTTCATTTTATTGTTGTTCTTTCTACGCGCCGTTATAACACATTTTCATCTCATCATTTAATTTCTGTTGTGCATATATTGTTGTGTAAATAAAGTTTTATAATAATAGAATGTACGAAAAGTGACCTGAAAACGGGGTTAACTCGGTAACCCGTGGCCCGATTTTAACGAAACTTGTTTTATTCTGTTTCTATTCTCATTTCATTACAAATATGGCGGTATTGTGCGCCGTTTTTGCTGTATTTAATTACAGACAAGCACACACACACACACAATCTCAGAGTTTTAGTAGTATATAGATTACTATTATATATTAATAAAGTGAAAAAGTTACACAGATAGCTGTATCGCTCCAACGACTTCAAAATATAATATTCTGGAAAGTAATGAGCGATTATAAAGACGCGAAAGTGTTCTCAAAACAAGATTAAATTGTGTATATTTCAAGGAATCTGTATTAGAAAAACAAACGAAATCTCAGTTTTATTTCATTGGTAACATATAGGGTTAAGTAGTTGTGCAGAATTTGCGATAACACATGATTTTCAAAACGACATGAATGCTAGGGTTAAGAGCTACTTTGATACTATATTATTAAATAAAACTTGGTTACTTGATAAAATGAAGGCTGATCTGATTACAAATAAAAAGGGTTTTACTTCAAAAAGTTATGGCTTGATAATGCCTAACTATTTAGAGACGTTAAAAGATGTTTTCAGTTTTAGTATCAATTAACTTTAATTGACAGCCAGTATTATTAGTTCGATATGTTAAATGTTGTTTCAAGTATTTACAAGAAAACCAAAACCAAACAAACAATTATTTGTTTGAAAAAGGTTTTGGTTGAATTTGGATAATTTCACTTCGCAAAACTAAAATAAAAAAGTGGTTGAAATTGAGATATCACCTAAGCATGTTTCTGTGAAAAGAATATTTCGTTACACTTCGATTTAACAACTTATTTTTTCAACTGAATTACTTAAATTTAACAAATTTACTTACAAACAATTCAATACACTGTTCAGATGAATTTTGTCTTTTTGTTTTTTTTTGTTAATGACGTAAAATATAGCGGTGCTGTGCTGCCAACAAAAAGTCATTTGGTATATACTTTACTCTGCGTTTTGGACGCAAGTGCTTACATTTGTCTCATGTGACAAATAATAAATGTGGCTTATTTCGTACGCCCCCCCCCCCCAGTGGCAAAGCGGTATGTCTGAGGACTTATACTGTTATAAATCAAGTTTCGATACCCGTAGTGGGCAGAGCATAGATAGCCCTTTGTGTAGCTTTATAACAAACAACAAGAATCTTATTAGGTGTTACGTGATGTAAATAATCTCGGTAATGAAATATATTTAGATGAAATGAATAGCGTTTGACCTTTTATTTATTTTTTGATAGGTGGTCACAGAACTAAAACATTATCGTGAAGTGTAGTTCTAGACTGATCCTGGATACCATGACGATCTTTATGTGTGTCATGGTATCCAGGATCAGTCTGTAACTTATCTTGATGTGTGTCATGGTATCCAGGATCAGTCTAGAACTTATCTTGATGTGTGTCATGGTATCGAGGATCAGTCTAGAACTGATCTTGATGTGTGTCATGGTATCCAGGATCAGCCTAGAACTGATCTTGATGTGTGTTATGGTATCCAGGATCAGTCTGGAACTTATCTTGTTGTGTGTCATGGTATCCAGGATCAGTCTAGAACTGATCTTGATGTGTAGGTTATATATTACATAAAGTATTTACAAAAATAACCACAATTCATTCTGATTTTTTTAAACGTCTTGTTTGTTTAAGTAATACTTAAAGGTCGAGTGTTAAAATGAGTTTCATATTATATAATTCCAATTTCCATATTAAAACATACATGTATGTATGTAAGGTAAGAATATATAGGGTTTGAACACAACTATGTGAAACAATTTATATTGTTTGAAATATTTATAAAGCTTATGTTTGCATGTACACTGTTACCATAGCAACAGTACTGTTTGCGCAATGTTTGTATTTGTAGCGACAAAGCAGTTTATCAATATTAGGACAGTTCCACATTTCTAAACACGGAGAGGGAAGGGA